CCCCGCCCGTGCCACGTTGCCCCCGGCGCTCGGCGCGGCTCAGCGGCGCTGTCGCGTGCCAGTCTGCAGTGTCTGCGCCGCGGAGGGCAGGGCGAGGGGAGCAGGGGCCTGGGCAGGAGGCAGCTGTGTGGCCCGAGCCCCTGCCGCTGGCCCTTGGGAGCCTTCCAGCGCCGGGGACGCTGCTAGCCGGGAAGTGCAGGCCGGCTCTTCTGGCCTCCCCTCCCTCTGGCTTCTCGTCCCCTCGGGTGGTGCGTGTGGCACTGGCTCTCGCGTGACCGCAGCGGGCGGACCACAGGGCCACTGCGCTGTCACAGCAACGCCCGTTGAACAGCTGGAAAATCTGCCAGACACTTGTCCTTCCAGGAAGCTGATTTGTTTCAGCTGGAGGCTTGAGTGTCTTTCAAACAAGCTCGAGCTCCCCCTCACAGGCGCGCACATCCCCAGTGACTCCTCAGAGCTGGTCCCATCCCAGCGTTGTGGCAGCCAAGTTCCCCTTGCAGTGGATTCGCAACCCGGCTTCAGAACTGATTATGCAAACGTGGTAAGGTTAAGAGGCGCTTAAGGCTTCATTTGACATTTAAATTCATGCATGGCAGGAGAAGTGCAAGATTTCTCTAATTGCAAGGCAGCTCAGTGAATTGCCGTGTCTCGCGGTGCTAATCATTACCACGCGTTGCCCGTTTCATGGCCCTCCGGCGGCGAAGCGTTCTCCGCGGGAGCTATCGAAGGCGGCCGCACTTTATGGCAGGCATCGCATTGAAGAGGGCAGAGGAAAAAAGTGCGAAAGCAGCAGTGGTGTCACGGTCAGCCTCGGGAGCGGAAGGCGCACATGCGTGTGTGCTGCCTAGTTGCACGGCTGTCTCCCTTCGCTGGGGGATCTGGCAACCAAGCGGGTGACCTGGGCCGGGGCTTTGCCTGCGTGTGCTTTACCTCCGGTTCTCTGCAGACCCGGCTGCAGCAACGCAAGACAGAGGCAACAAAAGGTTTTAGGGCAGTGCCTGATTGCTCCTGGATGGTCAGGCCTGGATGCAGGGCAGCGTCTGGCCTTCGCTCGCCAGGCCAGGTTTCTACGCTGCCCCACTGAGCCTGAGCCAAGCAAAACGCCTGGCCGATCACGGGCTGAGCCTCTGGGGACAGAGCAGCTCCAGGAGGTCATATGCCCCTACCGCAGAGGCATGCTCCAGCGCCTAGAGAGAGGACAGCTCTGCCACAGCCCATGTCCTGTGCCCCAAGCAGCCCTGCCTGGTGGGTATTTCCCTGCTGCCAAGCGCACAGGAGCAGGGTAACCTGTGCCCCACCCAGTCCAGCAGCTCCCCTCTCGCACGGACCGCTCTCAGGTGCTCTGGGGCTTATTGCCTGCTGCTCTGGCAAAGCTGCCCTGCTCCTGCACTGCACCCGGCGGGCTCAGAGCCCCTGGCAGTACCGTCTGATATGCCAGAGATGCCCGTGCTGCCCATCAGCGGAGACCTCAGCCTGCCTGCTCAGTGCGTGTATAAAGATGCTCTCAGTCAACATTTTGCCTTCCAGTTATACTCGCTGTCCCTTGGGGGACCAAGAGCACCCAGTTGACCGTGCTTCTTACCTGCTTCTGTCATGGCTCTGCCCCTGCATTGGCCGTGACCTTCATACATTCACAGCTTTCACAGATTTTAGGGTCAGAAGGGACCCACTATGTCATCAAG